CGCGCGCAGAAGGACATACACACTTATACACAGTCTCAGACAAACAGAAACACACACACACACTGTGACAAACACCACACATACACTTGCACAGAGTCACAGCTAAGGCTATATGAAATACTTGTAAAAAGACAGAATACTAGTATCTTACTATCTCCCTCTGTAGAACTCGACGTAGTCTGTCTCCGAGGTCCTCTCGACGAAGCGCAGGCAGGTCTTGGCCTCCCACTCCCTGATGGCGGCCCGGATCGCGACCAGCGCGTCAGGCAGGGCCTCTGGGAACAGACAGGACAGGGCGACACAGTTACATAATGTGGTAACATACCAGTCACATCCTCGTCCTGGCAATGCATTTAATGATTGGAAGATGAGTTTGCAAGGGTCCAGTTTTTTAGAATTTGCTGGCACGGAAGTACAGAGTCAACGGGCTTTGGAAGACATTGCAACTGTGAGCTGCGTAGTTACATTAACCCCTTAGCCCGGTTTGCTACTCATGACTACCATCCAACTTGACCTTAAGGCCGATCTGTGGCAACCAAATACCCTTTCGAAAATTCTGCATTCAAATACCTACAAACGAAGCAAGTGTACAGGCAAACACACAGCAAATAGAGAAGGTAGATAGTAATGATTAATGATTAAAGGCATTCGGTACTTTTTTTACGGGGGGGGGGGTCTGCCGAACTTACGGAGACTGCAGTCGATGGTGTAGGGGATGATCCCCTTGGGCCAGCGGTGCGTCTCCAGTGCCGAGGCGGCGGACGCCACTTCGTTCCCCTGCTCCCTGTTCGTGATCTGAGCCCGGATGGCCCGGCGCTGGGCAGTCGTCAGTTTGATGTCTCCTTCGAACGTCGGGTCTTCTGGGCCGTGGCGAGGGCTGCCGTCTGTGGCTAGTAGAGTAAAAGAAAAAGAATGTCAATCTTGGTGTTTAAATCGGACGCTTGAAGTTAGATGTGCAAATGTAACAGGTCGCTCAGTGCAATTGCCAGCTAACCTGTACAAGCTTGAGAGGCGGCTGAAAAGAGTAGAAATTCGTCAAATATAGAGATATAACATGCCAATGCTAATTGTTAACCTTTAATCCAAAAATAGAAAACACGCAGTCAATCCAAAGCTTTAAGACAGAAACACAATGCTGTACAATCAATGCTGTACAGCATTTACAATCTATGATTTTATTTATAACGTGAACACTTATCTATACAAAACACAAAAGTGCCCTGGGCACGAGAACATACCTCCCTGAAACACGGCGAGGATCCGTTCGAAAGCGCCCATGTTGTCATTGCGCGTGCGCGGGTCGTTCTGCGCTTGACACGTCAGGCAGGCCGCCATCACCATGGCAACCACCTGTAGAACCCTCATCAGTTCCATCTGTCCTGTTGTCTTCCTATGTCAGGAGTTTCCTGTAAAAAAAGCATGCATGACTTAGATATATTGTAATTGATTAAATAGCCTTTTTATTGTATCAAAGTGTGGCCTCATACAGAATATCAATATCTTTTATTTCTATCAATAAGCTTACTCAACTAAAAAGTACAGCAAAATCTTAAACAGTGAGACGTTTGAGCCCTGAAGAAATTATGACCGGCCATTCTAACTAGACAATGCTACCGGCGGACATGTACAGAAGTTAGACTTTGCCCAGCAGATTGACCCAACAGTCCGCTCCGAGTAAAATGCGTTCATGAGGAAAATATCAACATCCTAGCACCTTTCATATAAGTATCATATTTTGGTGTACACTTTTTGCCATATAGGATTTTCAGCCAATCAACACAGGTCCATTGCCGCCCCGCCACAAGATAGCCGAATTCTTTACGACAGACCCACAACTGTCCCAAGAATACGTATCTCCCTGTCGTAACCCTGTCTCACGACAAAGTGCCCTCAGTGAATGCCGCAAGTCATCGTTCTTGTTTTGAGGAAAGTGTGACCAGCGCAGTTAGGTTTTGTCAACAAATGTATAATCGGCAGTGTGGTCTGTTTGTTCCTTACGTAAGCTCAAAGATCATCTCAACAAGAGTACAATGACCACGTGTTACAGATACGACGGTTTGGTTTCTAAATTTTCTCAGTTGACTTCAAAAATCTTAAAAAAAAAAACAAGTTATTTAGATCAGTTAGAGAGAGGGGCATGGTTGGTGTGAGTGACGTCACAGGTTGTGTGAGTGACGTCACACCAGGACAGAACAATGCCACGAAGTTTGACGGATTAACAACCTGTTTGTTTGACGAGTCTTTTATACTGTTTGATCAGCAGGTCGACCTCAAAAGATTACGCGGAGTCTCTGATGTGTTAGGTATACGTAAGTAGAAAGAAATTTTATAAACCAGTCTGTGATCATCATAAGGCTTGGATTTTTCTTTTCTAGGGTGAAAACTAATAGCCTACCCCAGGCCTTCCTATGGGGTACGTATCGTAGAATTCGGTAAAAAAAAAGGGAAGTATAATTGGCCAGGAGAGCCAGTCCACGGGAAGGTTATTTCCCCCCTCCGACACGGGTAAATGACCTCTCCGGTGGCCAAACTTCCCTGGCGAATTATTCTCCCTATTTGGCTAAATTTTACTAATCTCCAAACAGATCTTTCGGTGAGGGGAAGACAGTATCAAATTGGCCAGACTGATACTGTCTTCCCCCCACGTACCGAAAGATCTGCTTGGAGATTAAAATTTTACTGCTTTTGAACCCGCGTTGTTAGTCTGGTAGAGACCAGTGAAAACCTACTCCCATGTCCCATACTGTCCACACAACTACAGCGGGGCGTGTACATGTACCTGTAGTACAGGTGAGATTTCCCCGACGGCCGCCGGACAGCCGACCGGATGTACGTGCGTCTGATCATTTCCGACGATTCGACGCGAGTTTCCGCTGGTTACGAAGTAATTGTGTGCAGCGTATTAACGCCATCCTGTTTTTATCCTTCAACAAATACTGCATGTTGACCCTTTTCGTTGTCCTGCCGTGAGAGATCTTCGCCGTCGAAAACATTCGATCAGTAACGGTGTATGGAACAGGGGTTTGGACGTGTTCGATCAGGAACGGTAATTATAGAACAGGGGGTCGACGTGTTCGATCGGGAACGGTAATTTTTATAGAACACTGAGGGTTTCGACGTGTTCGATCAGGAACGGTATATAGAACTAGAAGCAGGGATTCGAGGTGTTCGATCAGGAACGGTATATAGAACAGGGGTTTCGACGTTTTCGATCAGGAACGGTATTAGAACAGGGGGTTCGACGCGTCCGATTAACGCCATCCTGTTTTTGTCGGAAGGTGCGACCCAGGGGGTTGATCTTGGTCTTGGGGCGCCGAAAATCCGGCGATATCAGCTAAAAACCTTAATCTGATTAAAGCTGCGGTTAGCAAGCAGGATTGAGATTTTGCTGGCAGGTTTCTTAGATACCGCCCTGCTGTGTTGTTGTTTTGTCTTGAAGTTTTTTAAGGGTCGTTCCAAGAAAGGGTGCACCTATAGCCCTTAATTTCTATATCCGGGCACGCGACGACAGCCCATATACACGTAGAGTCAGCGATTTCGTGCAAGCAAAACATGGCAATAAACTGATAAACTAGATCAACAAATTAACTGTTCAAAGTTAGATTTAGTGACCAATTATAGCAACGTCCCTTTCCATACATGGCCGTACATATCTACTCATCTGGCGCCTGCCAAATCGTATTGACACCGTGTCCCTGACACCTGGGCGGCCCCTGAGCTACCCCGATGTTTGCCGACCTAAGATAGCACAGTTACACCAGACTGGCTCAAAGATAACGCAAAACATGTGGAAAACGCCTCAAGAAAAAAATGGCACAACCTCCAAAAATTGGCCTTATCGCCAACTTCCCGAGGCAAGAGCGGCTTTAAGTTGGTACACAATCACAAAGACTTCTGCCCACAACGGACGGCAACTTTTGTATTCTTTCCACAAGATTTCCCTTCATAAAGACAGAAACATTGGTTTCTCACCTTTTGACTGTTTGTAGAATGGCTGGCCAGAAAACCAGGTACAGGTAGAAATACTTGTTGCACTCCTGCAAAGTCGTCTATGTGAGCCTTTCTTGTAGGTAAGAAGTCTTCTGTAGCACTTTAACTCGGTCTTTGTCCTTTGGTCGATCTCCTCAAGTTGTTTGAAGACTCGAGTCGCCGGTCTGATTTATATAGCCATTATCTAGGATGACGTCACTGTCCCCATTGTTTAGGGCATGCAGATCGCTCTACCTGATTTCGGACGAGATCATTTACATATAGGGGTGGTCAGGGTGAACCACAAAGGTGCAGTGTCACCGGAAGAACAGATGTAAATACCATGAGTCACTTCGTGTGTCGTGGAAAGGGTAAGGGGTTGAGCGAACAAGGATAATTGAAGGCTATGCATATTCCCTCAAAGGAAAGCGCACAAACTTTCTAAACAAGTTGAGAAATCGCTTGTAAAAATTTTCAAAGTTTAAAAAGTTAAACATCCTCCACACATAAAAAGTATATGAAAAAGCAACCCCCATTGTCACCAAGTGTAGGATTCCATCAAACCTAGGGCAAAACAAAGGCTTCAGCAGCATAAGTAATGGGTTTCCTGTGCCGTGACTGTACTGGGAATAGACCCATGATATCACAAAGGCACAGCTAATGCAATGTCATGTTACCGGAGCTTGAACTTCAAGGAAAAGTTTATAAGGATGTTTCCTCTGGTTTTCTCATGATTAAAACGACAGGTACCCGTATCCGTAGTCGACGTCTCTTACCGCGAACTAGACCCTACCAGGCTTCGAAAGCGACTGGAAAGAGTAGATATTGGCCAAATAGACAGATAACATGTCAGGGGACTTGGTTTGCCTTAAGTAGTACAGAGAGGCAAACTGTACTCCTTCCACTGTCTTCTACCGCCCTGACCGAGAGCTATCTCGTAGTCTAATAAACAGGTAGATATAGAGAATATATATTGAATATATATTGACCGTTTCCAAAATCATATCCAGTTGCTTGACTAACTATTTTTGGCGTATCGGATTACCTGGATGTCTAACCTTCACTGACGTAGATATAGAGAACGTTTCTGTGAAAAGCTCATTCTTTTATAGCCACAAATGAATTAAATACTATCATCCAGACGAGACAAATACTCACTGTGATAACATTGTGAAAACGTTAGTTTATGTTTATTTGATAAAGGTTACATCCTGACTAGTACGGTACAGTCACTGTAGGGTGACGGATATATATGTGACCATACCATGTATGATACCGGTAGACGAAGTGACCACAGTAATTTCCAAGCAGCAATGGCAAGGCAGTATCCATTAGCCACCGTATGATCTGCTTGGAGATTATGATCACAGGATTCTAGACAAAGTTATTTTCATTAACATTTTCACACGATGTGTCATATAAACATCACTTTTCAATGCCGCGAAATCGACGTCCGGTGGGCTCAAGAAAGAAAAGAAAAAACAACAATTACAACACGAAAAGGATGTTCCACTTTTGTGGGTTGCTATATATACTTCGGAGTAACCTACCGGAAAACGGAATTTGTGCAGTCAAGATTGTGGAATTCATAGGAAACTGGTCATGTAAATAGCCTGATTACTGGTTATTTTGGTCCTTAACCAAACCAAGATGGGAAGAGGATGTGACTTTTAAGTTCTCGGAGGCATGTTTGAGAGTTGTCAATCAAAAGTTTTGCACACAACAATGAACTCTCGTCCGTAGGCGTAACCCTCGCGAGATCGCACGAGACTTGGGGACCCGGAAGTAACTTAGCGCATCGAAACCACGAGAGAAGTGGTTACGCAGTTTGCACTCAATCGCGCCGATTTTCCCTGTTTTTCGTCGTTTTACAGCTCCTTTGACACTTTTGTCAGTTGCGCACGATGCAGTCAGAGTCAGAAACCGAGGAAAGACGTTTCAGTGACCTGACCAAACCGCGCCACGCAACCCAACAGACAGCTATCGGTCCGGTAAGTTACCGCACTGTCCAGCTCTAGGGAATTTAACATTGTAGACTTTCCTCTTCAAAATTATAGACAGGATTTTTTCATGAGTTGATTTAGAGTCTAACTACTCTCTTGGACGTTTTAGCTAGTTTTGTGTTATATATTTCTTTTGTAAAATAATTACCGAGTGTACACTGACTTTGTCACGTACACATGTTACTTTTATCAAGGGTCACGTGTAAGCCTTGGAACAGGAAGGGGTGTTAACACTGCATTCTCTGAGTTCCTCTTCCTTTTGTACTTGTAAAATAACATTAACGTGTTGGCTGTACAAGTAAAACACTACATAGTATCTGCATAGTATCAGAAAACAAGAAGTTTTGTAGACCATCCTCATCATGTGTATTATAACATTTGGCTAATCCAGCCTTGGTGTTTACTTAAACTAACAGGTGTGTTCTCACCCTACATACACGCCCATTATACATGTATGTCAGACTCAATAACAACCACCGTTTGCCCATGTAAGCAGGATATTGTGTGAGATTCCGTTGCTCAAAGGTTTGGAGAGTGATTGTAACATTTTCTTAATAGCACATATACTGAGAAACTAAAGAAAAATAAGGGTGTAGAAATAGTTTAAGCTGTTGTAAAATGCCTGACCACAAAAACACGCAAGTAGCATACGTCAATGTTTAGGTAAAGTACAAAGTACAAGGTTGGTTCGAAAGGCTAAAAAACATGGGCCTCTGATGGTCATGGCAGTTTGGAAGACATCAGCCAAGTTTGAAGTTTGCTGAGTCACTACTGACAGTATTAAAAGCTGAGCATATTTGGATTTCTTCCAGCTTTACATATTTTTCCTTCTGTCTGTGTTTGTGATGTTTTATGTTTGTGGTTCAAGCAACAATGCAATAGAGTACATGTTTGCAGACATGCTAATATATACCAGCTATCTGTATTTCCCTGTCCCTCACAATATTTCCCTGTCCCTGACTGTGTTTCCCTGTCTCATACTATATTTCCCTGTCCCTGACTGTGTTTCCCTACCCCTAACTACATTTCCCTGTCCCTGGTGCTTACTATATTTCCCTGTCCCAGGTGCTGACTGTGTTTCCCTGACCCTAACAATATTTTCCTGCCCCTGGCTGTTTCCCTAGGCCTGTGACGGACCCTAACAATATTTTCCTGCCCCTGATGCTTATCATATTTCCCTGTCCCTGATGCTGACTGTGTTTCCCTGTCTCACACTACTAGAGTACTACATTTCCCTGTCCCTGACTTTGTTTCCCTGTCCCTTGCTATAATTCCCTGTCCCTGGTGCTGACTGTGTTACCCTGTCCCTGGTGCTGACTGTGTTTCCCTGACCCTAACAACATTTCCCTGCCCCTGGTGCTTACTGTGTTTCCCTGTCCCTGGTGCTGACTGTGTTACCCTGTCACTGGTGCTGAATGTGTTTCCGTGACCCTAACAATATTTCCCTGTCCCTGGTGCTGAGTGTGTTTCCCTGTCCCTTACTATATTTCCCTGTCCCTGGTGCTGACTGTGTTTCCCTGACCCTAACAATATTTCTATGTCCCTGGTGCTTACGATATTTCCCTGCCCCTTGTGCTAACTGTGTTTTCCTGTCCCTGTTGCTGACTGTATTTCCGTGTTTTGTACCATATTTTCCTGTCCCTGGTGCTGACTGTGTTTCCCTGTCCCTGTCTCTAACCACGTTTCCCTGTCCCTGACTGCGTTTCCCTGTCTCAGACGATATTTCCCTGTCCCTGACTGTGTAACTGATGCAGATTTCTCCTCCCTCCCCCAGACCAGGTCCTGTGGTTCTCTGGAGAAACATGAGCTGTTTTTCCTGGTCCTGACCATCCTTGGTCTGATGGGTACCCTAGGACTCACCATCTACAGACTTGCCAAAATCACCAGTGTAGATGCTGAAACTGCAGACTTTACCTTTGCACTGGTCCTGATCATCAATACAGGTGGGGGATTTCTTTTATGAATAGTATATACTCAGCCTACATGTAATGTGATAAAACAAATCATTACCTTTTTTATAACTGTTTAATACTCTCACAAAGTGAATGAATTGCACCAAGGGGAGTTAAGATTTGTTTTTTTCAACAAATTGATTCAATTTGGCCATAGCTACTTCTAATAAATCAAAACAAATTCTTAAGTATTGCTGTCTTTTGTGGCTGTTTTCAAAACAACAACAAAAACTGGAGAGCATTGTTTTTGTTCTGTCTCTTCCTCTTCTTCTCCAAACACATAAGGTCAATGACCACCATGTCACCATGGTAACTGGTGCTGTAGCAGAAACCCTGCGCCACTATGTTATGTTTATTAGTTATGACGTCACGGGTCACGAGGTACCCGTCCCCCAGTCCTAAGATCGACTCCATGTGTGAAGCCATGTTGTGATTAAATGCTGTTCGCATCCAAGTGCATCTCGCGTCCTCGATGCTTTGTAGTTGGTCCTTGGTCACTTAGTGATGCTGTGGTCTTGGTTTACATTATGTAGCAAGGTTGTAGCATTATGTAGGGCTGATCACCATATCTTGTATGAGTTTGAGTAGTGCAGGAGTTTGTTGGGCTAGACCATGTGAAGGTAAACATTATGCAATACATGTACTAGTAGTTACCTTTCTAGTTAACAATTGTATGATGTAAGTTTTTTGGTCCAACACAAAAAGTTCTCTCACCTAAAGCTTTTGACCAGTCACTCTGGTCTTCCTCAGAGTGACTGGTTGAAGGCTTTAGGTGAGAGAACTTTTTATGTCAGACTAAAAGTTTTAACTTTAAACATGTAACTACACTGTGTATCAACACAGACAAACTTTCATGATAATGTATGATTGTCTATCCATATCTTTATCCAATATTATGATACATAATTTTCTCTCAACATGCAGTTGCGTGCATGATCTTTGTTGTCCATGGCCTGATGCGGGAGCGGCCCTACGAGGTTGCCATCTTCATCATTGCAGATGTCATTGTTCTCATCTACTGTATCGTCAACTACGCAGAGAAGCCAAGATTTGATGATGCCACAGAACATGCCGTCAAGTTGGTGTGTAGAAGGTTTCATTAACTTGAAAAGTTAAGTTAATAATGCAGTCTTTTATGTGACATGTATATGTCAACTTGCCATAGATTCTAACATTTTGCACTTCATTTTTTTACTAGCTGTCATTTTTCTAATTCAACTTCAACAACTCCTGCTTAAAGATATTTAAATTTATTTTGCATTCTGAAATTGCCAGACATGTTGTGGATAGAATGGAATAGAAGTCAAAAAAATGTGACTACGGTATTATCAGGGTTTTAGAGATGTTAGTTATCTAATAAGTTGTACACATCAGATCACCTAAATTCACTTGGTAAATTACATAATGAGAAATGAACCTGTTCTCCAACTCAAAAGAAATTGACTCACCAGAATTTTCAACCAAATATTGTAGTCTTTGTAAGCTATCTGACCCAAGTGCTGTGGACATGTAATTTTTTCCTAACACCTGATGTCAGCAATGGTTTGAAGCTTCTAAGTTGTACATTGTGTTTTTATCTCGGCCGCCTGAGCGGCCGAGGTATTGTGCTCCAAAATATGTACGTTGGATCGTGTTTTCGACCGTGAAAAAAACCCCAATGAAACCAATTACTCTGCGTGTATACTTTACTTTGTGGGGTCGAGCTACCGGATGATAGTGTCGTTATTCTTATACAACGAAGTTGCTAAAAAAGAGGAAATGCTGTTTACCACAAAACCATTGTTTTATATCATAGTATGCATTTAAGGTTCTAGAATTTCGCTAATAGCTGCGGTAATTGGACCAATAAATCAATGACATAAATTATGTACATTAACCTTCCATATTTGCTTAAGTCGCAAGATGTCGCTTTTGATTGGTGAATAAATCACTGTGACGCACGTAAATATTCACTTGAAATGAGAAATTACCGCCCAACAAAACGGACCATTAGATTCCCAGTGCTGTATTACTCTTTTGTTCTTGTGGTCAACTTGTTTTCTTTGCTTGAATCGCGTAAAAGACCAAGGAAAATACAATGAAATCGGCAATCGCCGAGCCGCGCCGATCTGCAGCCGCCATCTTGGATTTTTTGGGAAAGCTGCAATTTGGCCCAAACCGCTAGAGGGGGCGAATTAAAATGTTTAATATATTCGGTCTGAAGTTTTAGTAGCTCTAGCAGTAGAGGAGAAGTTTGATAATGCATAGAACGGATAAAATAGAATAAAAATTAAATGAAATAAAAATAAAACAGAATAAAAAATAAAAATGAAAATAAATAAAAAATAAATAAAAATAAAAAAATAAAATAAAAATAGAAAATTAATTAGTAGTAGGTTAACAATATACTTAACGTTATATTGTATTTAGCAATGATCATTTAGTGAAAATTATTAGTAGTGGTTACATATACTTAACGTTATATGTATTTAGCAATGATCATTTTTCACTAATTTCCATTGAAAGCAAATGATAATGGAAG